GCCATGGGTTAGACACAGTACTACAACCATTTTCACTTCATAAGCCGGATACACAGCCATGTTTACGATATTCATCTAGGACCTGAGGCGCAATTTAATGCAGGATAGCGGAAAGTTCTCACACGTCAAGTCACAAAAACCTAAATTACCTAGTCCAGTAGCCTAGATGTGCTTGGACAACCGTACATTTCGGGCTGAAACTGCTCATATGGCGAACAGCCCTTCATAAACTTCCTATTGGCAAGGTGAATGTGAGGGACACGTAACTGATGAGTTAGGAATGGTCAATGTCTTGAATCAAGCCATGAGCCCAATGGCATTCCGCTGCGAGTGATTTTCCAACGTTTTTGTAACATGACATTCATTATGCTCCTCCAGGCAACACTCAGAGTGCATGGATGACTAAGGATATAAGGCTGCTTTACCTCGTGCCTCTGCAGAACGACATTTATAGACGAAATGGTTGCCTGCTGCAGTCCACAAAAACAGTTGAACTCGAGTAAGACGGGCAGAGATGAAGCGGAAGAAGAACAAGGATGAACGCATTTGGTCGTTTGACTTAGCATGATAGACAGCGCTACTCTTTAAAACAGGCATCACGCAAACCGACACTCATTGCATTTATGCTTATTCGATTTATCCTCATCCTCAGCTGAAAAAAATGTCAATACCGTCATGACTTTTGCAAACCTTACCACGAACCTGATGTCGATTATGACTCAACATTCAAGCAGTGGCAACCCGTCTAACCAACTGTGGAAGGTTTGGCCATCATGCGATACAACACATTTTTAAATCTTGCTCCGGAATCGACAGCGGTTGAAAACTTGTCAATGCGTGTCCTAAAACCATTTAAACAATATTATTTACGTATATTTAAATATGATAAATCTTATGAACTTAACTCCAAACAAGTACCTAGATTCTATGAAAGCTTTTATTTGATGACGGTCGTTGCCTTGAATGAATTATGGGCATTCAGACAAATTCTCCTGGTACCAGGCTAGGGAGAAGTGTTTTTATTGATCATTTTGCGCCCAAACAGAATACCATATTTCATCCATCATCATATTCACTGAGACCAACCGTTTGCACAACGTGAACGTCTCTGATTGGTGGTATCCTCTGTATTCGCAGTTTTTCAACACTTTTACCATAAGACTCAGAATTCCGCCTCGTCGAAAGAAAGATACCTCATCAACTGCAGAGCTGAATATACCTTGTTTGTAGGTTGCATGCTGGCTTCGCTGCTGATGCCTGCCGCGTTTAAACTCCCATAAGAAAGGCTCATGGGTCGAAGCAAATGGTTCATGTTCAACCAGTTTGCAATGCGGGACAAAGCCTCTTTAACTAATTTCCTCATCTACGGCGGACAGCTGTGCCCGGAATACGATACAATCGTTCATGGATATGGTCATTATCACTACTACAACCATTCTGCTCTTATTATGCGAAGAAATCAATATTGATGCATGGAGTTCGACCGTTATTGCTGCTCCGCCGTTAGGCCAGCTATCTCCGTGCCGCTCAACAACACCAACAAACGAAACGAACTTTTA